AATATCGCCCCAATATTGCGCCAATTATGTTTGCTACTAGGGTATTATATTTCAAAAGTTATTTCTTATTGCCCGGTTGGTATTTTTTTACTTAATTAATTTTATTTTTTTGAGCTAATTTAAAGTGTTCATATTACCAAGTGATCTGGGTAACATAATCACTTTTAATACACTTTTAAAACCTTTACATTTTTAAAAAAAAAATTTCGGTTGCCCAAATAACTAAAAAGATCAAGTTTTTTTTTTTTAATTTTATTTAGGTGTCCTAAGAAGTCCATGCGGTCTTATCACAGAGGACCGCGGAAGAGCATTTAATATGAAGTTTACACCTCCTTTCCAACCAATGTCGCAAAACTTTCCCAGAGGTGGGTTTGAACCACGTATCTTACGTTTCTGAGGCAAGTGCGCTACCACTGCCTCACGGCAGTGACGCAGTGTTGTATGTAGACGCAGTGCTATATATGTATATATATATATATATATATATATATATATATATATATATATATATATATATATATATATATATATATATATATATATATATATATATATAGTATTGGACAAAACAAGTGTAACCAAATAATGCTAACTTAGTTTCTTTATATAAAAGAGCTGCATTTTTTCAATTTAAAGAAATAACTATGTAACTCTTTAGAGACAACGTTCTTCAAGTTGAAAAACCAATTTTATTGGCATATTCCATTCAGCATGAGGTAACATAACATCTTTCAAGATATTTTTATACATGAAACGGTCCATTTTGCCATTGATTCAATGTATTGAATGTATCTAGATCGTTAGCAGAAAAACACCCCCAGACCATTACATTGCCTCCACCATGCTTCACGGTCTTATGACAGTAACGTAAATCGAGGCATTTTCCGGCCGGTCGACGTACACGGCAAATGCCATTGCTTCCAATTATGTTGAACTTCGATTTATCACTTAACAGGACAGTTCGCCTTTTCTTCACATTCCAGTCAATATGAGATGTAGCAAACATTAGTCTTTTCTTTTGGTTCTTTAGTGAAATCAGCGGTTTTTTTGCAGGGCGTCGAAAAAACAATCCGGCTTCAACAGCACCTCGTCTGATTGTTTGGTTCAATACAGGCAGCTCTAATTGCTTTTGTATCTAGACTGATAATATTCAGGGATCCTTCTTGAGGGATATGACGATCTTAGAATCTTCTCTAGAATATGTGGAACGCTGTCTTCCACCTTTGTTATCTGCTGCCGATTTCCGCGTAGAACGATAATTGGAACATAGTCTTGAGACAGTCCATTTTTTGACGCCATATTCATCACAAATATATTTTTGTGACATTCCACTTACGTAATCGTTAATAGTTTTCTTCCTTAGTTCCAATGCCGTCGGGAGCCATTTTTACACTTGTCGGGAGCCATTTTTGCACTTGAAGTCATAAAAATAATAAAAGTAAATAATCACGCTTCTCAAGGCTTACCGTGTTACGTTTACTTTGTGATGATACAATAATGCTCTGTGTAACACAGATGACTTTAATTGATGTAATGAAGCACTTGTTGTATTTCACTTCTTGTATTGATGTTCTTCGATAAAACACTTTGATAAAACTCGCTTCAATAAATGTCTTGATAATACTGACTGATTGACTTCCACATACTGACTGAATTACATGTCGGTTTACATGTCTCTTATATGGTAAAATGAACCTGTGTGAACCAGTTCTGAAAGATTCTAGATGCTTCTTTTTGATGCTTCTGGAAGCTTCTGGATGCGTCTGGATGCTTCTGAATATTACTGGATACTTCTGGATGCTTCTGGATGCTTCCAGTTGCTTCTTCTGGAAGCTTCTGCATGCTTCTGAAAACTTATAGATACTTTCTTCAATTATTAAAAAACTTCCGTAACTTTGACACGGACCAGATTTAAGAAAATGAAACCGACCAAAAAATTTGCACTTGTTTTGTCCGCTGCAAAATGGCACTTGTCAACGAAATTCTGCCTGTGTGCTGTGACCTGTCAGGTGATTGCTCATGTCATGGCATGCTGACTCCAGTCTCCTGAAATGTTTTCTGTGTTAGTATAGTTCGTTTTTCTTTTGAAGACATGTAAAATTATGAACACTTTTTAGCATTGTTTGATGTTGGTTGCAAATGTTTTGTCCAATACTGTATATATATACAACCCTGACTGAGTTGTTCATATAAAAGCAATTTTAAAATTGGTTCGTTTTCCGTGATAGCTCGGCAAACGAATCAACTCGCTTTCTTTTTATATAAACAGCCCCTAATTAATGAATATTCGTTCAAAACATAATAGGATTTAGTGTACATAAGTTGGTGAAGTACAGTACTGTTTTTAGGTTTCTCCACAACCTAAATACCCTGGACATTCCCAAATAAGGGAGAGAGGGTGAGCCTTACGACACTATTGCTGTATGAGAAATTAATTTTGATCTTGTAGAGCGTTTATAACTGTCATGGGTAACACACTCTAAGCGTCGTAATCCTTTGCATTCAACATCTTAAGAATAAAATTTAGGCTAAATTAGAATACTTTCTAAATAATACTTAATTTTATTCTTTTAACAGTAAAATTAAATTTTAATATGGAATATTTATTTTTAAAACTAAATAAGAATACAGAAAATTATTTTAAAATGTTTGTTGATATTAACAAGAAATTTACTAAATCCAAAAATTTGCAGAAGCCGAAGCTTGCAGCAGTCAAAGCCGAAACTTTCATATTTGTACAGCTAAAGTTTGCTTCCTTGCATATTGGAAGTATTTCTTGCATATCTAATTGTATAACTAATCTTTTACAAATGAAATCCAGCCTGTATTTGGTCCTTTATGAAATTTTAGAATATGTAATTTCAAAATGCATCCTGAATATTTTAAAATCATATTTTTCATATAATTTATTTTAATATTTCACTAAACCTTATCTTTCACATTATCACATAATACTTTATAACATGTTATACATTATAACTGCATAATATTTTATTCAAGCTCATTTTTCATTATTAATTATTTCTTTCCAATGTTTTTTCTTTTTTTTATCTGGTTAAACTTGATTTACAAGAGTTTTTTTTTTTAGGGATAAATTAGTGGTTAAAGGGTCAACGGTCGTTATCCCCTTTATTTTCAACGCTGAATAATAATTTGCATTTAGTCTTTTTAAACTTTCATGCTTAAAGCGTTATTTAAATTCAATAAATAATACAGGAGTTGTTTAAAGATGGTGTTTCTATTAGTTGTAGGAATGTTTTACCACAGTTGCACAGCTAAACTATTTGAATATAATGGAAACTAAGTTGTAAGTTAACGTCAACTTAACGTCAGTTGTGTAATTAACATTATATTGTAAACATTGTTGTGGAAATAGAAACAAATCAATTCATACAAAAGTTTCACAACTGTTTTACAACATTTTCACAATAAGAAACAAGCTTTAGTAATTTTAATTACCAAAAAATAACTTGCCGTAGCGAATAATTCGGCAAACAATACCCCTGACATCGGCCGAAGTTCAAGACTTTAACAGAATGTTACTAAATCCAACTAGGGTGTATCTGGAAATCTGGAATATAAACAACATCGTGATGGAAAATATAAACTGGGGAAATTGGTTTAAGTTATAACAATCCAGCTGGAAAACAACGTTGAAATAACGTTGAACTAACGTTGATTCAACGTTTAGAATGAAAGTTTTTGTCAACGTTGATTTATCAACGATAAATCAATCGTAGGTTCCAGCGTTATATCAACGTTGATTAAACGCAAAAAAACGTTACAATAACGTTGAATTCACGTTGAAACAACGTTTAGAAAAAAAGTTTTTTAACTTTGATTTATCAATTGTTGAAAAATGTTCTAAATTTTAATAGATAAGAGAACTAATGTTAATTTTTTTTCAAATATATTTAAATTGTACTCATTATCAAACAAATTTTTTCTAAATAATTTAATCTTTAAAATTCATGAATAATTAAAAATTATTTTGATTACCTCATTATTTTGTGAATTTTGTCTTTTAAAGATATTCCACCAATTAATTGTAATTGATTCACTTAAAAGAAAAAAGATATTAGTCAAATATTATTGTTTAAATTTGTAATTATCTTTATACAAATATTTATCGTATTTTTCTAAGTGACTGATTAAAATGACTTTTATTTAAAATTTCTTTATTTGTTTTGCAAAAATTTAAATAAAACTAAATTTTGTTAATGATTTTTCCAATAATACGCGTTGTATTACAACATTTTTTTTTTTCTCGACAAAATTTATGAAATAATGACCAATATCTTCAGATGACAAATGTTCTCTTGGACAAACTTTTGAACGGATAAACTTATCTTCTTGCCGTACACATAAATTTTTGGCTTTAAATTTTCAAATAAAAAATTAAAAGTAAATAATAATTTTAACTTTAAATATTTATATAAAAGAAACAATACATTTATATAATACAGCAAAAACAGAAACATTTTTTTCTTGTATGAATGTATATATATATATATACATTCGGAGCGTCATAACCCGCTCTACGGACCAAGAGTAAGTGAGTTTGGGAAGAACGAAGATATGTTAGAGGGAAAAACAGAAGTACTCGAGTTAAAAAGATAACATAGAGAAAGCGGACAGGATTGCACACGATATTATAAGGTGCAATACGTTACTATACTCATAATTGACTTAAACCAAATAACCTATGCAATATATATATATATATATATATAATATATATATATATATATATATATATATATATATATATATATATATATATATATATATATATATATATATATATATATATATATATATATATATATATATATATATATAGTGAACTCCCGATATCTTAAACCTCCAAGGGACCTAGAAAATAGTTCGAGTTAGCGAATGTTCGAATTATCGACACATTCTATAACGCAAACTTTGGTTGATAAGTAAAAACAACTCCAGTTATTAAAAGTTTTGATCTCAAAAGTAAAAATAATACATTATAAATTGAAAAATGTTCTAATGTCACTCTGTTTTAGTTTTGAAGATACGTCTCTATCGAATATAATTGAGACAGCGTTGAGCTTTTGTTGCAAACTTTCACCCACAAGACTGAAGGGCATATAGTCATACAACACTTGCAGTGTTTCCCGAATATCACTAACTTTTGGGTAAACTGGATCGATTGCATTATCATCATCATTATCTTCCTCGTCATTATCATCATGTTCATTGGCTGCATTTTTAACTTCTTTTACCAACTGTTCATCTGTAAGTAAAGGTTCTGTGCTAATTAAGCTTTCATCTGCAAAAACAACATCTTCAGCTGTTGTACCTGGATGGTAAATATTATAAAGTTTTTCTATCTGATTTTGAACCTCTTTAAAGTTGTCGTTGCCTTCATCCGATTATGCAGATTTCTGCTGATCTTCAGAAATTCCTTCTTTTGCAAAACAGTTAATGGTGGTGGAGGTTTTACCTGTTTGCCATGAGAGATCAAGCATTTTCATTGCATACAAAAATGAGAAAACAGGAAGATCTTTTTTTTATCAATAGCTACGACAAGTCTTTGCAATGCCAGATATCTGTAATAAACTTTCAAAGAGCGTATAATTCCCTGATCCATTGGTTGAAGTTTAGATGTGGTATTCGGTGGTAAAAAAATGAGCTCAATAGATTTTAGATTATCAACCGTTGGGTGTGCTAAGCAGTTACCTATTATGAACATTACTTTCTTCTTTTCTTTTGTAAACTTTGTATCCATTTCTCGTATCCACTCTTCAAACAGTATGCTATCCATCCAGCTTTTATTTTGATTTCTGTATCTGCAAGGTAAGTGCTTAATTCCTTTTAAGCAGCGAGGTGATTTTGATTTACCTATTATAAACATATGATTTTTTCACCCGCTGTACTTGCTGCGACCATTCCTGTAAGATGAATTTTCCCTATATAGATGTCTCAGATTGGAGTTTAAGTGACTTCTTAGGTTGCATACGAAAAAACAATTCAAATTCATCTGCATTATAAACTTCATCAAGTTTATACCTGAATAAAATTGTGAGGAGAGTTTGTTTCCTTCTATGGCGTGGTCATTTCAGTTGTACAAGAGTTAACCTCTCCACATACCGTCTTGAAAAAAACATTATAACTGTTTTTCCAACAATCAAGCCAACCATCAGACGCTTGAAATTCGTTTAAATTAACTTTTTCAGCAAGTTCTCTGGCTTTTGTTTTATAAATTGTTGCTAATACTGCCACGTTTTTGTTCCTTCCTTTTAAAAGCCATTTAAAAACAAGAATAGCTAAATTTGAAAAAGTTCCTTTTTTAATTCTCATACGTTTGGACTTGTTCCCTTGCATCTTCACACAATCAAAAAATTTTCCTTTATTTTTGATCCATGTTGACAGCGTATTTTTTGGAATGTCATTTTTTATAGCAACATGAGACTTCTCCAATTTCCCTTAAAGCAGCATACTTTTCTTTAAATGATTTTGTATTCGTTTTTTTCTTAACAGCGACAGTAGCCATTATAAAATGTAAGCACAACAAATTTTATTATAATAATAATATTGATTATTGCAACGCACGTAAGTATAACTGAAACAATAAACTAAATCAAACTATTATTATAATTAACATTGCAATAATGCAAAGACTTTTTTTTTATAGTTTTGCTCTAAAATTCGAGTTATGGGAAAAATATTAGCTATGAAAACAGATAAAATGGTTCGACTTAAGCGAATGTTCGAGTTATCGAGCTGTTTTTATGTGAAAGTATTAGTGAGGGTATATATATATATATATATATATATATATATATATATATATATATATATATATATATATATATATATATATATATATATATATATATATATATATATATATATATATATATATATATATATATATATATATATATATATATATATATATATATATATATATATATATATATATACTGATTCTTTTTATTTTAAATATTAATTTGAATTTGAATTATGTTCTTTTATGTTTATGAATTATTTCTCTTTTTCACTACTAGAAAGTGATTCTGTCAGAGCCAGAATTTTAGTGCGGCAATATGTTATGAGTCAACCATAGCCCCTATATATACTTTAGTAAATTTTAATTTTTTAATTATGTACATTATAGTCAATTATATTATGAAAAAGTAATTATAAATTTCATGTTTTTTTGTTGTTGCTGTTGTTGTTGCTGTTGATTTTTGACTCTTTAATGAATTTTTATTAATATTATGTCAAAACTAAAATGTTAAGAGCTATGGTTGCTGAATACATTTCACCAAGATTAAAAAAGATTATTCAAGAATGTATTTAGATTTAAAAAACACAGTATTTTTTTATAACGTTTTACAACATTTTTTTTCAACCGGATTTATTTTCATTTTTCATATTTCATTTCATCATATTTCAACCGGATTATTTTCATACCGGATTACTTTGAACGTTTTTGAGATAATTTTATACGCTTGTCCTTATTTATTGACAATAATTCAAATTTAATAAAGTGCATATAGGAGCTATGGTTGACTGTTACATAATTCAAATTGAAAATAATATTCACAACGAAAAGAATCAGTATATTATTAATTTATATAGTCAAATTCAAAATAATATTCAAATTAAAAATAATATTCAATTTCAATTTCAAATTCAAAATAATATTCAAATAAAAAGAATCAGAAAATTAATCATTTATTTAGTCATTCAAAGTTACCGCGCAAATGGGGTATTTTTATATATTTATAATTGTTGTAAAATCAAAACATTCATAATTATATTGCTTTGTTTTTCAAATTCAATAAAAACAACAGTCTGAGTTTGCATAAATTTATTGTTACTAACTATTTAATAACTGTTTATTCTTTTCCAGATTTTTTTTCGTCTTAAAGGGTATGTCTTAACAGAACCTGCATGAAAAGATTCTGTATTACTTTGTTTTTTATGTACAGAGATATTAAATAAAAGAGCAGTTTTACTTAATATCTCTATACATAAAAAACAGATGACGATGCAAGCGGAACATCTTTAAATGTTGGCTAAATATCCTAAAAATAAATGTTTTTTCTAGGATCAACAATATTTTTTTTCGTTTTGGCTTTTCTTTATTTATTCTTAACATCAACATGACGTAATCGCTTGAGTACATTACTTACTGCAAAGCTAACATTGTTTTAAATAGTTTCAATATTTTTATTAGCATTCGGCAAACGATTGAGGACAATATTTAATGGATAAATACCACACATTTTATAACCAGCTACTAAACTGCTGCTTACCTCTTGATTTGATGAATATATATAAAGATACAAAGTTTTTTTATAAAGAGGAAAATTTATCTTTTGTAATAGTCTGTGCCTTTTTTGAACACGAGGTTTTTTACTGATCCAGTATTTTTCTCCAATACCTTTTTTTCTCCAATACATCAATTGGTTACAATTAATAGGCAGAGTTTGCAATTAAGCAAACAAACAAAATACTATTTTCTTCACCTAACTTAAGTACCTTTTTACTAAAATAGCAGCTTAGATTATCTCCAATAAGAACTTTAGTTTCTGGAAGATCATTTACAAATCTGACAAAAATGGTCTCAAACCAGTCAGAAAAGCAAACAGAATCAAAGCGTCCTGACTTACTTCAATTATAACTTAGATTAGGTGGTCCATTTTTTGTCTATGTTGTCCATAGATGGCCAGCTTTATAAACAATATGAGCAGGTACAATTTGACCAGAGGTTGAATCACAAAAAATGATTGATCTAGCACTCTTACTAGTATTTTGAATATGTTCAGGTTACTTCAACGCTTTTTTATAATATACATCTTTTGGTTCCAGAATTATCAGACAAATTGGTTTCACCGCAGATAAAGATATTACAAGACGAAATTTGTTTTTCTTTACCATACCTTAATGTAGTTTTCAAATTATCAAAGAATTTATTAACTTCAAAGGATGAAACTAATGCCCGAGACTTTTTAAAATTCTGACTCATTCGCTGAGTGAGACCATCATTGTAACGTTTAAAAAACAAAGAGCCCAATCTCTTCCAGAAAAGTTATTGTAAAAAGTAGGAACAATTCTGCCCTCGATATCCAAAATAGACTTCACTAAAACACGAAGATCCGTTATATTAAAAGGAATACCCCAAGCAACAACACCAATAACATGTTGTTGGACAATTGCTAGTTCTTGTATATTTGTAAAAACTGTTGTTTTTCCAGGTGTTTTCGGATTATGTTTTTTAACCTTGTTATACAAAGTCCAACTGACACCCCGTGAATATATGATGTTTTTTTGTATGACAAACCACCATTGGTACCTTTTGATGTTTGGCTCTCAGTATAATTTATATACTTCCTGTTATAAATTTATTTTTTGAAAAAACGTGGCTAAATAAAATGTTAAATTAAAATAAAAACTTCAAAAATGAAAAACAATACATTCAATGATTTACCTAAACTTTGTATTGATGAAAAAGAAATATAAAAAGATTCCGTTTTAAAATTCCGAGGTATTTTATATATCTTGAAGAAAATATGACATGGAAAACTCGTATTGATTATATATCAACAAAAGTTGCAAAAAGTATTGGAATCCTCCTTAAGACCAAAAATTATTTAAATAAAAATAATTTAAAAATATACTACTCATTTATTTATAGCAATATAAACTAGACAAATATTGCCAGGGGAAGTGCAGGTAAAAATGTTGCAATCGTTTTTCAAATACAAAACCTCTTTTTCAAAGATATGATTGTATTAAACGTTTTTGAACTTAACTTCTATAATACTTTCTTTTACGTTTTGTTGTATGAAAAACTCTTTATTACATTTTTTTTAAAGATATATTTACCTTTAAAGTAAAGAATAAACATATTTTGCGAAATAATAACTATTTAAAAGAACCCTTTTGTCAAACAAAGTTTAACCAATTTTGTATAGATTTATCTCTGGAATAAAGTAATCCAACCTAATTTAGATTCATCTCTTTTTCTGTTTTTAAAAGCAAGTTAAAGAATATTATTTTTTCAACGGATAATATATTGAAATATTTTTGAGATATTATTTTTAACCACTTAATTTTTTAACCATTAAGTTTTTATCATTTTTTTGGGTTATTATTTTTATTTTTTTGGCTTGTCATTTTTTATTGTTATTGTTATTTTGTTATAAACTACCTGTATTATTTTATATCATTTTTATATGGTTTTGGCAACAAGATCGATATGATCTTCTTACAGATTCCATGTTTATATGTTTACATTACATGTAAATTACGAAATGTTAATAATGCAAACTAAAAAAAAAATATTTTAAAACTTTTTTTATGCAACACAGTTTTGAATGTAATTCTACGCAAAAATTACTTGACATTTTTTTTTTTAATATTGTAACTTTACTAGAATTAAAAAAAAGATAAATATGATATAATGTATCATTTGTATAAACATGTATATAAATTTTTAGAAATAGTACAAATTAGATATTATTATACATGTATTGTTATGACAAAATTTAAAATTATTTCACATTTCTGACAACTTATGCTGTAGGATTACTTTAAATGTTATTCAAAGTTACCCCGCATGCGAAAAAATGTATACAAAAAAATATGTTATGCTGTACCACTGGTTAATAAGTGCAGCAGACCAACTAATTCCTTTAGTTTTTATAATATTCCGGGGTTTCGGTTTCGGGTTCCGGTAGAAATTATAAAACTACGATTAATACCTGCGTTTACCGATTAATACCTGCGTTTAAATAGCGTCAAATAAAACAAAAGTAACAACAAAGCTATAAAATTTAGTACCAATGCTATAAAAGCTATAAAATTTAATACCAATGTTTTCCTTATTGATTTATAAGT